AATTTTTTTTTTTTTCCCTAATCGAAATTCTTGAATGTGCAAACATACTCGTGAATGATAGAATTTTATAGGGTTACTTTTGAAAAAGATGATCGGCTTAATTTCAAGTAGTATATTGAGTTTGTCGTGAAGTAATATTGAAAGTAAAATGATTATAGTAGAGTGGTGATTGAGAATGATGTGTAGTTAAAATTATGTGAGTGGACGAATAGTGAATTAAAGTTGATACGATGTGTGAGAATGATCGATTGATATTATTTAGTATGTAGCTCGTTCGATGCACAACCAATAATCATAATTTGCATGTATTAAAGCAATGAAAAATTATTGATTAGTACAAAAATAGTTTTGAATATTAATATTATTGTTTTTCTTTTATTTTATGATCATAATAACTTAATATATGAGTTTTATGTTTTTTCACTCGTTATAAAATAGTTGTTATTTTAGAATTTATGTTTATAAGTAAGGACAATGAAAATCTAACATATACATTAAAATATTATCAATAATTAATACTCACAGAATACTCTCTCTCTCTCCATCTTCCCTTACATTGTTACAATATAGTATTTTGATTTATAAATAAGTTCAGCTAAAGTTGAAAACTTGCGGCAAATAATATAATCAACATTTAATTGAAAAAAATTAAAATATATATTATTTTGAAGTTAATTTTTTTTTTTTATGATTTTTATATTCTGTAATGTTCTCAAGCATATATTGGTCTACTATGGCTGGATACTTAACAAAATAAGAGAATATATGATTTTTTATTAAGGATAAAATTTGGTTTCTTATTAAAAATAAATAGTTAAATTTCTTTTGATATGATGAAAAATTGCGTTTATAAATTTTTAAAAATTGAAACAGTTGAGTTATTGATAATCAAATGAATCTAAACTAATCCTCTTGATTAAATGATATTTTTAAGATACGATAAAAAAGTATTATGGTATATGGTCGGTTACCAAATGAATAAAGAATCACTGTGATTTGTTATTAATGTTGATAAATATGATTCTATTGTTATATATATCATAATAAAATTTCCATAATTGATTTTTATTTATTTTGTAATTATATTTGCAATTTTCTCGTGCATATTCAAATAATATTTTCTAAAAACAAAATCTATTGAATAGATTTTTTGAGGACATGTTGTATGATTGGTTACAAAAGAATAAAAAATTGAAGTGATTCGTATTTAGTATGAAGAATTGAATTTTTACTGCGATAGTTATCACAAAATAATTTGAAAATAAAAAGTCGTCCTATTAACCGAATTACACGATTTGCACCATGTAGATATTATTTGATATTTATTTTTATTTTAAAATATTAAAGTAATTTTTAGTATATTTATTTTAATAGTAAGTCAACTTATTAATTAAAAGGTCAAAGTTACTATTTTAGATAATTCCATCAACCTCTTTCAATATATATAGATATAGATATTGATAATATTGAGAAGATTTGAGTTAAGTTAAATTTAAATTGGATTTTGAATTAAAAAAAAAAAAAAGTGATTAGACATTTGGTATACAAACACCATCTTAAAATATTTTGTAATCATAAGTCAAGTAACTTTTGCATTATTTACTTTTACTTTTTTATTTCTTGTGAATTTTTTAGAATCAAGCAAAACAAAATAAAAAGAGATTGATTTATTATTTAACTTTCTTATACATTTATTATCTAGATGTAACTTGGACATTACTTTCAATTGTCAAATAAATTATAAAATATATAAACTTTGAATAGGGATTTTTTTCTTGGCTACAACATATCATATTTGATACATGTTCTATCATGATGAATTGTATAAAATATATTGATGTAATTTTTCGGAGTTAATATAAAAATATAAAAAAAATTTAATATCAAATAAATAGTAAATAAATAGCTTACATTCTATGAAATACTATTTTTTTTTTTTTCCGGAACGATAGAGATATTATATAAAAACGCACAAATGTGCAAAGAGCAGTCACCAGCTGAACACAAACAACCAACAACTGAAAAAGTGGGAGGACAGGTCAAAAGACCGCCTAGAACCGACCCCAACAAGGTAAAACTCAAGAGTACTAAAAACACAAAAAACAACACAATGACCCCAGCAGGGTAATACCCGAGTGTCGGACCCCAACAGGGTAAGAAGGTGACACTCGGGCGCACAGAGACCAACGACCCAAACAAAAAACACAAACCACCAACAAAAGAACAAACAACACAAAACAACTAACACAAACTAAGTAACATACAACCTCCCTCAGCAGGAACATCCGAAAAAGACAGCAGACAAAGCCAGTTCCGAGGAGAGCTCCGAAGCTCCGATACTACGCCCGCCACTGCAGAAGGCCTAGCAAAAAGACCCAAGCCTCAGGACAAACCAAAAAATCCCACCCGCACACCGGCCGCAAGAAGTCACAATCACCCCCAACCGGCTAACACCACTAGCCATTCCGAAACCATCCCAAAATTGCCTAACACGACTAGCCATTCCGAAACCATCCCAAAATTGCCTAACACCACTAGCCAACTCCGGAAACAGATGGCCTCCCACAAACTCAGAAATCGAGAAAGAGGAGGAAGGGGACGAACGACATTAGAGCTCAGTCGCGCCGACCCTGCCCGAAGGACCAAACCCAGCCCGAAACAACCACCTATCCACCCAGCCCGCAAGGATGAAACCCGACCCAACACCCCAGCATAGCCACTCCTGCCAAAACCGAAGACCTGCAATCGGGAAGACCTTCCCGCCCGCAAGGATGAAATACTATTTCAAATACAGAAATTATTTTTTATTTGTCAATATCATAAACTAATTCTTTTAATATATATATATATGTGTGTGTGTGTGTGTGTGTGTGTGTGTGTGGGTGTGTGTGTGTGTGGGTGTGGGTGTGTGTGTACGCGTGCGCGCGTATGTGTGTATTAGTATAATTCTTTCAAACCCATATGACATGATTAAGTTTAATTAATATATTGCATCGATTATCTATATAGGGTGTGAATCTAATATATATGAAGAGTAAGGATGCCCTCAGATTTTTTTATGACATTTTTTGACGATTGTGCAAGATATAAACTATCTAAGTACGTACAAATTAGAAAATCTATTACCATACAAATTAGAAAATCTATTATCTCTGACTATCTTTTTTTTATGTATTGGAATAAATTTAGAATTTAGAGTATGAATATTGAGAGAAACTCTACTATGAATTTTGTGGTGGCAGAAAATATATTTATTTGCACAAAGAAACAAACACTCCACATTTTTACATACTTTTTCACATTCTTTTCATTCGTTTTTTAAATTTTCTCTTCTTGTTTGAATATATCAAATGCAATTTCGTGAAAAATAATTAAATAATGTTACTAATAATCATTAATAAAGTAAATTGCAGTCAGGCTCATTTCAAGAAGAGTTTCAGTTTATCGCTATATTGTTTTCTTAGATATCAAAACTAATAATTTTAATTTTTTTGATTAAAATAAATTTAATTTTAACTGAATGTCACATACTTCAGTGAATTTAATATATATATTTAAGTAAAGGAAGACCTTATAATTTTAACGTTTATTTTTTGTTCTAAGAAAGAAAATATTTCGTCCATCCTTTTCATTTGTTATTCTTAAAATATAAAATGTAGCTATATTTATATTTTAAATTTCACAGCTTTTATTACAGCTAATAATATTATACTTTTTATAAATTTTTATAAAAAAATAATCAAATGAAAAATTTAGCACATTTCGCTCAAGGCCTTATTGGGCTGAGCATGCGACTTGGAGAATTCCGAACCGTACCGAAAACCGAACTAAAATCACTCCGAATTGAAAAATATCCGTTGACCATTTGACTTTCTCCGAATCGAACCGAACTGAAAAAATAATTGGTACGGTTCTGGATATTTCATAAATATCTGTACCGAGAACCGAACCGAACCGAAGAACTGAATTATAAAAATAGATGCGTGTTATTAATATATTTTATGTCAACTTTGATCCTATATAATTGGAGAATTTTTAAAATGCAAATAAAATATAGTAATAACAACTAAGGTTCACTTACATTTCATGTTTAGTAATACTTGATCTACAATTGAATTTCTCATGTTTAAAAAAAAAATGGAATGAAAGGTTAAAGATTTAAAAAAAAAAAAATCTTTACTTAAAGTTGTCGATACTTACCCTTAGTTTATCTTATAACTAACATGGTATGGAAGTTTAAATAAATATTATTTTAATATAAAATTGTATTATATTTTGTTGGAATTTAAATTTTCAATGTTAGTTGAATTTAGTCTTAACTAAAATTTAGGGTTACTTCTAAAGTTGATTTAAAAATAAATTCTTTAGTATGATGAAGTATTGATGAATGTTGGATTTAAAAAAAAACATATAAAAAATAAAATATAACTAGACTGTCATTCAAAAAAAGTTAAAAAATGATAAGAAATCTCCGAATAACCGAACCGAACCAAACCGAGCCGAACCGTTCCGATAGTCCCGAAAACCGAACCGAACCAAACCGAAAAATAAAAATCTCCGAACCAGACCGAACAGATTTTTTGATACGGTTCTGGAGATCGAATTTTAGTGATCTCCGAACTTCGATTCGATTCTGGAGATTTATCAATCTCCGAACCGTACCGACCCATGTTCACCTGGCCTTATGAAGTCCAAGACTGGCTCTGTTAATTGTTAAAATGAAACATTAACTTCTCAATCATTAGGAATTATTATGTAAAATTTAAGATTTTTACCCATTTATGGAGAGTGAAAATTAGTTTGTAACTTAGTATAAATATGGCCAATCCAAATCAACATTCTATATAAAAAAAATTATTTAGATAAGAGGATCATTCATAGG